GGCAGCTGGCGTGGCAGAGCAGGTCCGACTTCTGGCATAGAAGTCCCTGCCGCACCGGGCACAGACGCAGGGCCCGTGTCCCGCACGGGGCCCTTCCCGAGGGGCAGCTTCCCTCACCTCCGGCCGCACAGCCCCCGCATCCCGCGGGGACAGGCGCGGAGCCCACGCACGACCAGCACCGGGGGCTGCAGGGGGCGGATCCGCCTGCCGGGAGCCCCGTGTCTGCGCTGGGAACAAGAAGGACCCGTGTTTGCCAACTGCCCTGCCCTCCTGAGCGGCACCTGCCCTGGCACCTGGGCCGTGAGGTGCTGCCCTGCCGCCTCCCCGGTGCTGTTCAGCCTCCCGCTGCCGGCGTTTTCTGTTTCCTCGGTTATTTCTTACCCCCCCGCACGCTTTTCTATCCCAGCTGTCTCTCTGTTTCCTCCCTCACCATCTTTTTTTTTTACTCTCTGGAATAAATGGAAAGCTCTGGGGAGACCTGACCCTCCTGTACTTCCAGGGGGCTTACAAGAAGGATGGATAAACGCTTTTTTAGCAAGTAAAGACGGGATGAAGGGCAGTAGTTTTAAGCCAAAAGAGGGTAGGTTGAAATCAGAGATCAGGAAGAAATGATTTCCTGTGAGGGTGGGAACACCCTGGAACAGTTTGTGGGTGCCTCATCCATTGAAGTGTTCAAAGCTGGGTTGGATGGGGCTTTGAGCAGCCTGGTCTAGTGGAAGATGGTGATGCCCGTGGCAGGACTAGATGGTCTTTGAAGACCCCTTCCAACTCAAAACACTCTATGATTCCCAAAATCCAGCACCTGACTCATTCCCAGACTGCTCTGTACACACAGAACTGTGGTTGTTTTGATGAAAAGAAACTCAAGGGTGCGTGGGGAAAAAATGCAAAACTTTTTAGGTTTACCAAAAGGCAAGAAGTAAGTTCAGACTTTAATGAGACTTCCATAGAGTTGAGTCACCTCGTTTGGAAATACTGAGTGAACCAAGAGGAGAGCATACACCTATTTTTGGCTCAGGATGCAAAGGTTTACAGAACCTGAACTGACACTTGTCTCTATGCTTAAATACCGACACAGATATTAATTTGACAAATCACTATGATTGTTAAAGAATTGGGAGTTAAATGTTAGTGTTTTCCACAGTCATTCGAAACAGAAGAAGCAGAAGACTCTTTTGTGCTTTGGTGCCCTTGAACAAACTTAACCATAACTTTTCCTTCCAACCTGATACAGTGGGAAAACTCTTTTGTTGTCCCCACTCTGCAGGCTGGATTGTGTCCTGGCTTATTCCCAGTCTCTTTTAAACAGACTAGTAATTGTTCTGCAGACCTTATACCCAAAATCGTTGAAATAAGTGTTGTTGACTGGGATAATTAGCCATTGCAAGAGTGTCTGGTTTAGGCAGCTGGAGGAGGAGGCATTTGCTGAAGTCTTTCACAGGGGCTGTGAGGGAGCACAGCTTAAAATCTTGAAAAAGAAATGTTAAGGAGTGAGTGGTAGATGGGAAGAATGTGGTGGTAGTGACTGTGCTCAGCCTGCTCTCTGCAAGCTGGAGGTCTGGTACTCAGGGTGGAAAACAGTCACAGGTAGGGATCAACCTGTCAGTACGGCAGCTGCAGGAGGACAGCACAGAGGAAGGTGGCATTACCATTTACATGCCAATGCAAGGAAAGGTGCTGATCTGAGGACAGGATGACATCAGCCTCACAGGGAGGAGGCACAAAGGAAGCGGGTATGAAAAAGAAGGAGGACCTGTGGTTGTTTGGAAAGGTGTTTTTTTCTGTTGCTCAGAAGTAGTGATTCTGTGTCTTAGGAGTGGCAGGGCTGAAGGAAATGGAAATGAAGCCAGTTGCTGACTGGGTAAGGAAAGGCTGGGAGATTGCCAGGGATGCATTGCTAAAAGCTTTGGAACGTAATACTCACAGAGGTGAGCATCATCAGAATAGCAGCAATAAAAAGGCTGTTGATGACAGCAGGATGCCTTGTTGTGAACAATTTATAGTGGTTTGATTCATATGAAAATGTTACATTAAAGATTTAAGTAATAGTTTAAATCATTAAGGGAGCAAATTTGAATTAAGTAAGCAATGTTAATCATATTTTGTAGGCAGACTTTTAAAGTTTTCTTCACTAAGGGAAAGGCTGATTCCCATTGCTGAACATTCAGAAATCTTTAAGGGTAATCTGTTCACAAAATAATCCTTTTTTCTTAGTGGGGAGAATACACGACATATACACACAAGTAGTTCTGTAAGTTAACATGCATTTATTTAACCCACATTATCAATATCACGCTTTTGTAAACTGTTAAATTACACTTCCTGTTTATTAAATAATTCCTTTGTTTATTCCAGACTTGGCAAGATGTTTGTGGAATTAAAATAGTTGAAAAAAATTAGAATTTTAAATTTGCATTAGAAGTGAAATATGATTAAAAGATCTAAGACATGCTTTATGCTTAAAATTGAGATATTTATTAAACAAGGCCTAAGAAACTGAGATGATCACAACAATAAATCTCACACCTAATGATTATTCAGATTAGAAGGGGAAACTTCTTTCTGGCTTTAGTATTGTCCGAGTTTGTTTTTCTTTAAGATCTTGGCAAAGATTAAATTGGCTTCAATTTAATTTTTAATGTAATACAAGCCAAATTATTTTTGCAGGTTACTGTAAATCTGGGCTTTAAAGTGGATGTCTATCTTTTTAATGTTTAATTTAAATAGGTTGAACTGGAGGAAAAATTAAACTCAGATTAAAACCAAACCAAAACAACAGAACCACAAAGAAAATTTTAACAGCTCGTCTGGCTGCTTTTGCTTTCATACCACCCCCTTCCCAGATTCTCTCCCATTTGAAATGCTCTGTGTCCTCTGAAATGCTGACAAATGACACGCAGCCTTCTTGTTCCCAACCCAAACTGTCTGATTACTAACACAGTAAGACAGTCCTCTTTACAGAAGGACTGGGTCATAGGTCTTGATAGCTCCCTAAGGTCTTCCTTCCTCCCCTTGTCCTTTGAAATGCTGTGTGGATTCCTCTCTCTTCCCTTTTAGCAGTTCATACTGTGCCATGTGTGCCAGTCTGGTGGTTTGCCATGCTTCCCAGGGTACAATCCATCACAGATTTGTGGCCAACAACTACACTCAGCTGTGCTGGCCCTCCAGGTCTCAAAGACTGTGACAAATAATGGTCTTCAAACCAGTTTTCCCTTTTCTTGTTCATGTTGGTGGAGTATTTCCTTCTGCCCACTGCAGTTCTCCTGGTTACATTGGAAGGTGTCCCGTTGGTTCCCTGCAGACTTACATGCCTTGTCTCCTGTAGGAGTTTGAAGCGAGGTAAGGATTGAGGCTTTTTCAGCACTCTATTTTCTTATGGCCCTGTCTGTCCAGATGTATTAACTGGTTACTGCTACTACTTTGCCATTGCCTCTAGTTTTGTTCTGGATTTACACCCTCCTCTTGTCCTGTATTGTTTTGCTGAAACTGCTATTCTTGGTGGTTACTGATGTAGCTCTCTCCTGGTTATATACAGACATTGCTCACTTCTGCACAGCGTTTGGGACCTATTGCTGCGGAAGGTGCCCCAGCTGAGAAGCCTCGATCCACGTGTAGTAGCCCTTACATCTGTTTGGATTAGTGACTACTCCTCTTTAAACAAAATGGTGTGTTGGGCACATAATTTGTGCTTCACACAGAGTGGGAACACTTGCTCCTTATCATAATGTGGACTGAAAAATGTATAAATTTAGTCAGTATCATCATATGCTGTTTGAAATGTGAATTCCCCCACTTTGCAGTGGATACTCTGGTAATTTTTCGTTGGTCCTTGTTCTTGCTCCACCCTGCTCCTGGACTATGAACCTAGAGCCTTCATGTGTGGAATGTGGAACACTTCTCAGTCCTAGACTAATCACAGTGACTCTTCCCATGGGAGGAAAGGAAATGTGAATTTTACATGTGCCTGGCTGGGAAACAGAGACTAAGGCCTAGGTGCACCGGTCAACACGTAGCAGATGCTTAAATGAGAGTGGCTCTGTGACTGTGCAGCCTATGCCAGGTACCACTTGCAGAGCAGGGGAATGAAGCTGGCACTCCAGAGCCTGGAAGAAGCACTGTTATTAGTAGTGTATGAATCTGTGCCTTTTCTATGTGTGAAACTCGTAGCACCCATCAGTAGTGCTGCAGTCCTGGGGACCGAGAGACATAGCACTGACATTTGCCTGTCAGGAGGAACTAAGTGCCCCAGGTAATTTCTTCTCTAAACTGCAAGCAGATGCTAACGTAGCTGAGCACAGGTGGATGGTGTACTGACACTTCTGTCAGCAGGTCTGTGTGTTCAAATGTATTTGCACGTAACAACTGTAATGTGCGTTGGCACTTGGATTTCTGGGCTTCTGTCTTCATTGGAGAACCTGGGACTGAATCCTACTCCCATTCTTGTTGAATAAATAAAAAAAGAAATGGGTGGTGAAAGTCAGGCTTCATGTAGAGTCCCTAAGTACTGTTCAGTGCAGGAACTCCCTCCCTCTCCTGTATTTTTGTCCCAATTCAGCCAGAAGAAATTTATTCTCTAGGAATGAGCAAACTTTGAGAAACATTCTATGAAGAAGCAGACCTTCTTAGGACTTCAGACATGAAATGGGGATGCATCTGCTGGATCAATGCTCACAGTACAAAACTATTAAAAAATAAAGATACATAAATACTTGTCACAACACATATTTGTCTTTGCAAGTCATTTACATGTGCCAGTATGCAGGTGCAAATGGTGTGTCACTAGTTCAGATCAAAGCTTTGTTGGGCCAAAGTGTAGCTTCATTATCATGTACCCTGTCTGTGATTCTTTGTCTCCTGAGTCATCACAATGGCTACACCAAAATCAGTGGTAGTTTCCAATAATTTTCATTCACTTTCTCTAAGCAAAAAGTAAGAGGCTCTTTCACTTACCCTGACTCTAAATCCATTTACTGACTTCTTTACTGGGGGTATGGTGAAGAAGTAGTTTTCCAGTCTTCATACTTCTATTCATGCACCTGAAAAATCAAATTATACCCCAGTCTCAGTATATATTTCTTTAACAGCTGATGTTTGGCTTCTCACTATGCCTCAGGCAGGCAGAAACACCAAGCAGAACAGG